GACCCTGAGGAAAAGCCAATGAACATTTCAAAGACAAACATGGCTTAAAATAAAAACTTGAAAAGTATCACTGACAAAAGATTATTTTGATGGTACACTGATTTCTGATTGGGAAAATCATTCCTACTCCCATAAATTGGACTGAGGAGTATGATCTCCTCGAGTAAGTAAAGCTGGTCTTTTGATAGGAAAAAGGAGTTTCCCCCCAAAGGAAACTTCTCCAGTAACAGTTCATAGTTGGATATTCTCATTGCAACATCACGATGTAGGAAAATGGAAGATCGCAGATGGTCTGTGTGAAGGTATAGCATTGGAAAAAAATAGTTTTTGCCATTGCATAAAGGAAAAAAAAACTGGTAAAAGAATACAATAAGGCCTGCTACTTTTTTTATGAACATGGGAGACCACAGACACACACACTGGACGATTTGGCCAGACTGCGAGACCACACACCTGCCGTCTGTAGTAATGATTTCACAGTGGCAAATCCACCGACACCAGATCTCACAGAAACTTGCATGATCAAATGTGACTTAAGAGGGAGAACAAGTATGGAGGGCGATTGATGTCGTCAGCTGGCTGTGCTGGCATGAGTTCTGTTTTGCAGCAGGAAAAAAAAAAGAGAAAGAAAGAGAAAAGAGAAAGCCAGAGAAACCCTGTCTATTGAGGGAAAAAGTCAGATCTGGAAACGTTTCATATTATGATTCCAGATCACGGAGGCTCCAACTGCAACAAGAGTAGTAAAATAATCGTATTGACACCACACACCTGAGGATTCATTGGACAAATAATCAGTTGCAACAAGCCCCAGATATTGGGGCCCAGATATCGGCCTAAATTTGTTATGTAGCCAGCCTTACCCTCTTGTGTCTCATGCATCATTCAAGTAGTTGGAGAAGTATTTTTAGGTCGTGGGCAACTCATGCCGATTCAGTAGTTGAAATTACACAGTTTGGTAACCGTGTTAAATTGTCTTCAGAGCCTGGCACACTTCCTGAGGGTTTGGTGCGAGGCCAAAGAATTAAAGATGATAAATTAGTCCGTGGCTGACTTGGGACCGGTTTAGAAATGCTTTGCATGCTACAGGAAGTTGTAAATATCTCCCTGTGGTGCTGAAACATTGATGGCTTATAAATAACTGAAGAGGTTATTAATGAGAATGCCGTATCTTCAATGGTGTAGCCGAAACAACACAATAAAGAACACGCTAACATGACGGATGCCTCCATATGAGCTGAAGAAAGAGAACCAGACCATCAAAGTTATTCCTATACACCTGTACCCTCAGGGTGGTCAGGTCTGCTCTGGGTCCTTCGCCTGCGTTTGTATGATGATGTAGCACACTGTGATTGGCTGTCAGAGAGTCGGAGAGAGAGGTCAATGTCTCGCCCCTGAGTTTTTGCCTTTATTGCATAGGACAGCTGAAGACAGACAGGAAGTGTTGGGAGTAGAGAATGGGGGGATGATATGCATCAAAGGGCCGAGGCCGTAACCGAACCCCAGAGCCGCTGCAGCGAGGACCACGACCTTCACACACAGGGAACGCTCCAAAACCGCCAGGCCATCGGTGCCCCAGTCTCCTTATGAAAGAGGAAGAACTCAAACACACAGCGTCCAGAATGCCATGAACATTAACATATTTACATGCCAGTATTTAATGTTTGTAATGGCGCCACCTACTGGTAAGAGTCAGAAAGCCTTGTGTAAGATCAGATGTACACCACATGCTCTAACCTCTTGGTGTGACAGTTTACACCAGTTTTGTACTTTCTTTGTAAAATTCTCCATAGATTCAGCATTCGTCCATATTCTCGGTCCGAAGACCCGCGAAAACTACATCTGTAAACTCTCCGACAAACAGCCAATCACAATGAGATACATCAACATAAAAACATACAGTCAATCATGTTGTGTAACATCACCAGCAGATGCGACCACTGAGCAGATTTGGTACAGACACCGGCACGCTGATGAAATAGCCTTTCATAAATCTTTGCATGCCACAGATTGTGATTTGCAGACTTTCAAAATTCTTTACATCAAAGCCTGACGAGCCATTGCGTTCACCAGAGCCCCGCGCTGTCATTGTTGGTTTGTCTGCTTGTTTAGTGTGTGTGTCTCTGAGTGTGCGTGTGTCGGCACATTTTGGACTTTTGAGGATACTTAAATGTTGGGAAATAAACATCTGAGAATTTGGTTTAATGGGAGTCAAGTGAGGTAGCGTTGTTCGGTTTCTTTGAATGAAACGATGCATCAAGTGTTATTGAACTGGGCACATACAAGTGAGAGTGCGCCTCTTTTTAAATTGATGTTTTTTGTTTTATATCCATTTCCTGCTATGCATGTTTGATAGCGTTAATCCATGAGTTTTTTAGTGGAACTAAATCAGGCTGACTGGGATCAACTTGACCACAAGCTCTGTTTTTAAGAGTCTCTGTGGAGATAAGATCATCCTTTTCCCCACGCTGCAGTAAATCCACTCTTTATAGCGTCCCAAGAATCAAAGTCGTGACATAAAGAGTAATTTAATGATAAAGGAGAATCAAGGTCTGCTACAAAGAAGTCAGTTTCAGGCTCTTCAGTCATTGCATTTTTGACTTCAGCTGTTGTGGTATCAACCCCCCTTGCTGCATCCTCCATGCCCGCTCACATGCATGGAGTTTATTTAGTTTATTATGTTTATTCAAAAGAGAAAGAAAAGGCCCCAAATTCCAGGCATCAGAAGGTGACGACAGTTTTGCAGAAACTTAAGACTCTCTCAGAAAACATCCGAGAGGCTGCAGGAGCAGAAACTTTAAACATTTTGTAGATTCATCAAGGTGTCAAAAGGTTTTGAAGTGGTTGTTGGAAACATATGGAAACCCGATGCTGCTCCAATATCACTTATCACTTATCACTTAATACTGTCTGAGTCCTGAAATGAGAATTACGTTTGAATTCACACTGATGGAAACAGTTCAAATCCATCTGTTCCTTCTCATCCAGATAAATATTGACTTTTTGCATCATATTCTGGATCACGCCGTTTATTGTAAATCAGTGTATTCATCTAATCAAATCATATTTACTTTCGCACGGAGAGGCCACTTACGACTCGGAGAGAAAGCCCTGAAGCGCCGCAGTAAAATGTGTTTTGATAAACTAAAAAATCCTTCCCACCGTCAGAATAAAGGAACATAAGAGTTCAACGTAAACATGAACTGAGTGCTGCTGCCCTGCACGGATTATTTTCTTTAGCAGTATGGAAAGTGTAGATTATTTTTCATGCAGACCTTCTGTTTCCTGCTCTACTATGTGATGCATGATGGAAACATTTTAGAACATATGAGCAGCAGGGTGACCGAAATACACTTAGAGCAATTTTATACAACAATATTATATCGGAGACTAGAGAGAGAGAGCTGCAGAAACAATAAACTTAAAAAAAAAAAAAAAAATTGTGGTGGATTTTTGCAAAGTGGGTTCACATAGAAAGACAGAATGATGGGAATTTGGGATTCTTTTACATCCCCAAACCCCTTTAACCCGCAATTCACACATACTCCATGCGTGCCGCGGTCCATCAGCGCCACGGTTTTGCTCAGTCGGACGGCTCGTGCCCATTCACACTGGATCCGTTTCTGGGACGTCAGCGCAGGGGAACACACCCATGACACATCACAGGAGAACTACAAGATCCCGCGGGAATTAAGAGAAAAACATGCAAACAACATGTTGCTTTGTCTTTCTGAGGATGCATTGTTGTTCATTTGGTTCCTGTTTTGACATAATGTTGTGTTTTATTTTGAAATTGACCGGATGCTCTGTGCGTTTCCTTGTCTGACTTCCTGTCTGGGCTGTCATATTCTGTCCAGCTTGACGTGTGCCTGCAGCGTACTACGTTGAAAATAGACTCGCTGCGTACTTAAAACGGAGCAGAGCGCAGTGCCGTTGGTAGCACGCGCCAGAGACGGACCGCAGCGCGCCCTGTGTGAACACAATGATTGACTACAGTGGCAGCTAAGTACAACGTAGTGCGCGGCGCTGACGGACCGCGGCGTGCATGGAGTATGTGTGAATTGGGCTTTGGGGGGAAAGAGAACAAAAATATGACAAAAAATCCACCAGTGTTGAATTTTTACTAAAACTCTCAAACAACTCGGATGTCAAAACAAAAGTAACATCCACCTCAAACATTTTGTATATCAGAGCATTTTTCAGCTTTTTGTTAAACTTACAGATGTAAACGTTTTCCAAAAGATTTTGATGTTATTTGTGACTTCATTTTGAACAGTTTTATGTTAATCATCACTTCCTTCTTGACATCTTGACATTATTCGTGACTTGATTCTTGACGCCTCAACTCCTGAGTTTTTATTTTAAATTGTATCTAATCTTTTTTAATTTTTTCAATAAATTGTGGACTTATTTCCACACTTTATTTTTTTTGTTATTAATTAAAGGAAGAATATGCGATTTTTAACACTTCAAAAATCAAGTATATCCTCTGAAAATAACTCTGTGAGTCATGACTGTCTACAATGAGTGTAACACCCGAGTCCCACTGTCTGTGATGTTTTCAGAGTTTTCAGAGTCCTATCTTCAGTTTGTTTACATCGCCAGGACGGCCGGCTCATTACATTTCTACTTGATTCAAGTATTCTCAATATTTAGACTTTTTTTAAACTCATTTCAAACGTAGTTTACTTTATTCCTGACTTTGTCTCAACATTTGGACTTCTTTTTGAGCTTTTTCTCACATTAACTTGATTTCAGTCCAGACTGTATTCCTTTTTCGTGACTTCATTCTGAACACTTTGACAGTGATCTCGATTTAATTCTCGATATTTAAAATGTTCTCTAAATGTAAAACAAGATGAAATCTTAGCTCTGTAATTTTTTGTTACTTTTAGTTACTCTTTTACAAAACTTTTTCTCCAACCCTGCAGGTCATTTTTCTCAAAGCGTGAAGCCACAAAGGGGGGCGTGTCCTGCGCCTCTTAAATAAATAAAAGCTGGACACAGAAAGAGAGGGAGAGAGAGAGAGAGAGAGAGCGAGCGATCACAGTTAAAAAACAAATAACGACACAACCACAACCTGGATTTAAAGTTAAAGAACTTTAGCATCTCTCTGAGCTCCCTGTGGCACCCTGAGGACAGGATCGGTTCACGGTCAGGATGAAGCTGACGGTCCTGATGTTTGGTTTCCTACATGTGTCCTTCGTCAGTGCGGGACTCTTCTCCCTCAACGATCTGCAGCCCGCAGGAAGCTCTCTGTCCCGCGGCAGCAGGGCGCAGGTCCCGGATACCGCAGGTGAGTTCATGGACCTCTTAGAAAGTTTGTTAAATTCATGATCACTGTTTGAATTTCCCTCGGGATCAATAAATTATCTATCTATTAAACTGTCACTGGTGTTCGGCATAGCAGTCTAGTAAAATGTAATATTTAAACCGAATGAAAAGTATTGATTGGAGGTTTAAAATAATTAATTAAGGGGAATGTGCAGTGGATCGGCTCAATACACCGGGGCGGCTGTGGCACAGTTCAATCCCCAGCTCCTGCAGCTACATGTCCTATGTGTCCTTGGGCAAGACACTTTACCCTGACATGCCCCTGCTGCTTTGTCAGCGCCGTATTAATGGAATGAATTAATACTGATGGAGTCTTTCCACAGCAGCCTCTGCCATCAGTGTGCGAATGTGTAGGTGTGACCTGTGGTGTAAAAAGAGCTTTGAGTAGTCAGAAGACTAGAAAAGAAAAATACAAGCTCAAGTCCATTTACCATTTAGTCATTAGATTTGAGGATGAAGAGAAAACGAGAGCAACACTAATGAATTTGGCACACACACAATCAACATCAGTTTAAAGCAAACTAAGGATGTGTGCTTCTTATGTGACTCTTGACAAGTTGTGAAATGTCAGGTTTGTAGTAGGAGCCAATAAAAGCTTCAGTTTGAATTTATTTCTCACCATGGTTTCACACATTTTAGTGCGGCAGAGTCGAACGCTGCTGGATAACTCTTGTCACACATTGTGAGTTTGGTAGAAAACCATGCGTACGGCTGCAGCAGGAGGGTCCCACTGTGAATTATACGTTTTTAGAGACTGTTTTATGCATATACTTCCTTTTGAGTTAAAACACAACTGACTGTTAGCTTTAAGTATTGGTCATTAAAGCGGGTTAACAAAAATTTACTACTTCCAGGAAACCGTTAAACTGGTCTGGGTCCGTTGGCGGTCTGGGAGCGTAACAGCCCGTAAACTGAACAGCGCCGCACGACTTAAATTACATCACACAGTGTCATAATAACACATGTGCGCCGAGAGTAAGAACTGATTCATGTGACACTTCTCAAATCCTCACCTCTCTCTGACGGCTGAATCATCTCTTCATCCAGTTTGTATTTATTTAACCAGCAGCAGTGGCGTCAGGCCCCTTAAGCCCCCCTAAATAATTTGGTGTTTTTCTTATTTTATTTTTTTAATTCAATATAAAGTGGCCAGAATATGAATTTAAATAAATACTCATATAACTTGTTATTATTCACTTAAATATGATCATAAATCTGTCAGTTTCCCTTCACTTCATAGTGTAAGGTAGAGAGAGCCCCTTCAGTGCGTCGTTATCCAATCCATTCCACTTGTTCATATAAAGAACGCCCACATCACTGAAAATCCAGTCCACGTTTTCCCTGCGACCTTGCTTGCACTCGGTACCTGCGTACCTTGAAGCACACAGAGCCGACTAGAACAGCATGAGGAGAAGAACGTGAATGAAGAAGAATGGATATAAGAAAGTTTTTCAAGAAGTAGTATTCATCACTGCTGGTAGTAACAATTAGTTAGCTCCAGCCCCCAGCTAACAGCAGAAAGTCCCATGTATTTAATGAACCAAGTGCTCCCTGTTTGACAAATAAAAACCTAGTGTGCACACCAGTGGCGTCATTAGGCCTATTTTTGGAGGGGTTGAAGCCTTAATTCAACTCATTGTGTTTCAGTGTATCTTGAAGGGTCAGGCAGAAGGAGATGCTGAGGGAGAAAAAGATTAACAGGCAAGGTGAAGTCAGAGAGAGCAAGGGGATCCAGAGATGGATCAAGAGGCTGAGGAAGATCAAGTTATCACAGAGAGAGAAGAAGAGCAAACAGACCAAGAGAGTGAAAATGATGAAGCAGCTGCAGCAACTCACTCCACTACAGAGTTTGATTTAGGTGACAAAGACACAGGGCCCAGACAGATAAAGCTGAAGAGCTACCCACAAGATAGTTTTGGTACACAGAAGAGAGCATTTCACCACAGCTGGTTTGAAAAGCACAACTGGTTAGAATATTCAGTCACCCAAAATACAGCTTTCTGCTTCTCATGTAGAGTGTTTGGCAAAAAACATCAAACATGATAGTTTGGTCAGTAGTGGTTGCAAGAACTGGAAGAAAGCTTTAGTCATCTTTGGCAAGCATGAGATGGCACAAACACATAAGGACAATGTTGTTGCATGGAAAAGCTACCAGGCAACTAGCAAACAGGGAAACGTTGCACAGATGATAGCATCTGCAAATGTGAGTGAGATAGTAGAGAGAAGAGAGTATCTCAGGCGAATTGTTGCAGTCACTTCTATGTTAAGGAGACAGGGACTCCCTTTTCGTGGCCATGATGAAGGTAGAGACAGCGCAAACAGACGGAATTTTCTTGTGTGCATGAAGGTTTTGAAGAAATTTGATCTTTTTCTTCAAAAACATAACCCCCCATCAAATCAGTATATCTCACCAACATCCCAGAATGAGATGACTGACTTTTGTGCCCAGGAAGTTATTAGTGTCATTGTGTCTGAAATGACAAAGTCTAAAATCTATGCCATTATGGCAGATGAGGCAAGGGATGAAAAATCAGAGCAGTTAGCTGTTTGTGTCAGAGGGGGCAGTGAAAATCATTTGATGCCCAGTCCATTGCAAATGACAAACAATGGTCTTGCAGAGTTTAAGTGTATAGCACAAACATATGATGGTGCAGCTGTCATGAGTGGGTCCACTGGAGGTGTACAAGCACATTTTAGAAGGCTCCATCCTGAAGCTATCTATGTGCATTGTTATGCTCATGAACTTAACCTGGTGTTGTGCCACACTTGCAAGGCCATCCCAGAGGCTGTGTGTGTACTCCTTCTTCAGCACCTCCCTAGTGAATCATCATAAGTTCATGGAGGCTCAGACAAGGCTTGGATTGACAACAATTGAGCTTGTGCAACTTTCAAACATTCACTGGGCATATCAGTTGCGATCAATCAGTGCAGTTCTTGAGACATTGTCTGCCATTTTGGAGTGCCTTTCTGCCATTGGATCCCCCCTAGCTGTTGGTCTCAGAGCAAAGCTCTATAAGTTCTCAGTAGTCTATGCACTACTGATGTTTCAGTCACTTCTGTCTGTAACCGAAGGACTCCACAAGCTCCTTCAGAAAGAGACTTTAGATCTGGCAGAGGCTTTGATCTGCAAACAAGAAGTGTGTGACACACTTAAGGGCAAACGCACAGATGCATTTGCCATGGAGCTGTATGAGCGAACCAAAGCCCTGTGCCACACCCATAGTATCCCTGAACCAGGTGCCAAGACAAGGAATAAACAGAGGAAAATTGAGGATTTTGTGCTGGAGGCAACTGCAGGTTCACGCAATGAATTGAACAACTCAGACACATTGGAAAGAGAGTTACTTTTCCCTTGTGTGGATAGGATGGTTGGCGAGCTAGAGCAAAGATTTTGCAGTGTAGATGCAGGGCTACTAAATGTGAGAACTTCTTGAGTGAATCACACTAGAATGAACTTGCAAAACACTACAGCATTGACCTGAAAACAGAGGAGGTTCTGGTGGCCAGAAACTTTCTTGCCTGGAAAACAGAGGCTGGATGTTCACCCAAAGATATGTTGTCTGTGCACAACCTCCTTGATTCAGACACATTTCCCTCTCTGAAGGCAACCATCCAAGTTGCCCTAACAGTGCCTGTAAGCAGCTGTTCATGTGAAAGGTCGTTTAGTGCACTGCGTCGGCTGCACTCCTGGCTGCGTCAAACAATGGGTCAGAAAAGACTTCACAGTCTTGCAGTCATGTCAATTGAAAAAGACACGCTTCAGCATACGAGTCACAACAGAGTGATAGACCAATTTGCCACCCTTAAAAACAGATGGCATTCTTTGATGCTTCCACCCACCAAGTAACTCGCAATTGTAGCAATGTTATTTAAAAATAGTGTACTTGGCTTACTTTTGTTGTTAATGCTGTAAACATACTGTTACTGTGCAAACCTGTGTTTGTTCTTGTACTGTATTTAAAAAAACAGTCTGAAATAATAATAATAAATAATTTCTCAGTCTTTGTTAGCTGTTTGTGAAATTTTGTGCTCACGCACTACGTTCGCTCACATCCTATGCATCTCTTGGAGGCTAGGCCTCCCCTGTCCTTAAAACCTAGTGATGCCCCTGACCAACAGAGACTCGTTGAGGTTTCAAGTTTAATATTTTAACTTTTGTTTATCGAGGAAACATTCACCTTTTCTGCAGTTTGTGAGTCTGTGCGAGTAATTGTGACATCACGTCAGCCCATTAGCGACCTCTCGTAATATTTGGAGAACTTGGCAGTTCCTTCATTCACAGTTTGAGACTGAATCATTTTTTGGACAGCTGTTGCACACCAGCGCCAAACACCCTGAAACACTCTTCACACTTGTATCACTCTCAGAAACGGTTTCCCTGTACACAAAATGATTACACAACAACATGGAGCGCTTCTCCGGAGATAAGTCAAGAATGATTAGAGACTTTTTGTACAACCAAACCAAAGTTATACCTTTAAATCCTGATTCAAACACAGATGGAGGAAATGAGTGATGATGTCTGGGCTCAATATGAAACATTAAAAAGTAGAACAGTGATCGTTTTTTAAATGTGCTCACAGGCTGTTTGAACATCGTTTGAGATCGTTTAGACAGTTTCACAGTCCATATGCACAGGCGAGGTTCATCAGAATCAACTTTACCACCAATTAGGTGTAAAATCTGTGTTGGGATTTCAGTTCATGACGGTAAAAATTAAAACTAAGAGCAGCACTGTGTTCTGCACAGTTTTACTGGAGTTATTTATAACAGAAATATTTTAATGTCTTGCATAAGGGGGCCGGTGGCGTGGTGGTTGGTGCATGCGCCCCATGTGCGGTGCGGAGGCTGTGGTCCTCTGGGCGGGCGGTGGGGGGTGTTGGGTCCAACCTGTGGCCCCTTTCCTGCATGTCATTCCCCGTTCTCTCTCTCTCTCTCTCCCTGATTTCCGACTCTGTCCTCTTCCTACCACAAAGCCCAAAAATAAATCTTATTGCATTATCTCTGATGGCCAGCAGGGGCAGGAGAAGTTGCCAGATTGTGAAGAAGTCTGTGAGAAAACGAGGCTATTAAGGAGGAAACGTGAAGCTGCTCGCTACATTAGTGCAAGCTTGGTTTGAAAGATACGTCCCCAGTTTGTGGTAAATGTGATGTAAACTGTGGTGATTATTTAGGTTAGCTAAATCAGCCTTAAAACAAAATATACCATCTGAAAAAGATAAAACTCCTCAGGGTGAAATAAAGCTCAACAAGAGACTTTTAAAAGTTGTCCTATTGTGCTGATCCTAATTTTTAAACTCATATAGTGTCACAATGCTGGATGTCCAAACTGAACGTGTTACTGAACAGCTCAGTTTAGGTACATTTGATTTTAAAAAGAAGACAAACGTGCTTTACTCCTCCCGTCGGGGTCGATTCCCTCCAGAAAGAGTTTCCATCTCTCCTCAGGTTCTGTCTGCAGCATCTTCACCAACTGCATGTGTTGGACTTCACACACCAGTCGTTATGAAAGTGTCTCCAATGATTTATGATCGTGAAATAGAACAAACAGATCCTGGCTCTAAACCCTTCTTTAGTTTACGGACATCATGAGGAAATGCTCGTGGCGTTCACCATATATTTAGTGTCAGGTGTGATTGTGCTTCACACCTTGATGCCTAATTGTTAGAGTGGTTACTTTAAATCCTTGAAGAAAAGGGGTGTTGAAAAAATGTGCAAATCGTACCCCTCTTGAGGAGCAGTGACAGGAAATGAGTTTGGTAATCATGAACATTGGAAGAAGTCGAGGCAAAACTTGACCAAATGAGTATGTTGCTTTGAATGCGTACTCGTGGCGACGTTAGGCACTGAGGAAAGTTTTTGACAGACATGCCGGATTATTTTGCACGTCCAAAGAGAGAACATCGTCATTTTTTAGAGGTGCAGACGCATCAGGGTGAATGTCTAACACTTATAGAGCATTTAATGACGTTTCTGATAAGATGTTGTGATGCACTAAACTAATCCTGATGTTTTTCTTCACTCAGAGCCTGTTAACCCCAAGAAGGGCAGAAAGAGGCCGCTGTTTGCGAGGAGAGGACAGTATGAACGACAGAGAGTCCAGGTGCCGGTAGGTTCAGCGTTTGTTTTTAGTCATATCAAAGGTGCATCCTGGTTCGTTTAAATGTGGAGCATATTTATAAATAATTGGGTGTCTTAATAATAAAGAGGTTCAACGGCTGCAACATAAGCGGGGCAAATGTTCCTGATCAAATCATGTCCTCTCAGAGTTGTTGTTTTAGTTGCTGACAGTCTGAGATTGTTACTCTAAGGGTTAGGGTTAGAGTCTCTAAAGGACTGCATTGCTGCTGCTGCTGCTTCCAAACCTGTGCAAACGAGGGAAAAGATAGCATGCGATCCACAAAGCATGCACAAAGGGTGACATTCACATTCTTGTTCTAAATCCACTCTGATCCTGTATTTGATCATGTCTATAAACCCCTCTATTTCAGCCCTGCTCAGAACAGACTGTTTCTGTGTCTGTACCTTTAAATATGTAAATGAGCTGTGTCTGACCACGCCCCCTCTCTGGAAGGACGGGTGTACTCAGACTTCCTCTCTCCATGTCCTATTGTTTACTGTGAGAAGGCAGACTCAGAGGGCAGAACAAACACCTAGCTGTGGGAGTGTCACCCACCTGGGGGAGGGGCTACTGCCCTTTGTGATGTCATGAAGGGAACATCTCCAAACGGCCTGTTTGAGCACACATTTTCTGAAAAGTGGAGCAGGCAGAAGACGGAGAGGATGGACTTCTCTCATCATTGGGGGGGTTTGTAGACGGACTAGAGACACATATTAGAGTTAGAGAAACATGGGGAAGTGGATCATCATAATATGAGACCTTTAATACTTTTTTCTTTCTATCTTCCAGAAGGAAAGGCCCAAAAAGGTTCCTCTGAATGACTTGGCCCCTCCTCCTGATTCGGTGCTCAAACCTACGACGCAGAAGTGCTCTCAGCTCACGCAGAGCTGCATGCCGCAGTCGGGCTGCTGCGACGCTGGAGCAACGTGCCACTGTCGCTTCTTCAACGCCATCTGCTTCTGCCGGAGGATGAGCTCACGACCAAAAACTTAGAGAAGAAAAAAAAACCTCAAGACTAACACACTGCAGGCTTCTGTACAGATGCATCCTAATGACGACACAACGTGACTCATCGTGTTGAATTAAACTCTTTTAAATGTGCATATGAAGAAGTTTCCATGAATGTATACCTCTTATGAAAGGCAGCTGCTTATAAAAACAATATTACTCATCTTTTCCTCAAACATATTCGTTCGTATTTGAAGTTTTTTAAACATTACTTTTTGTCTATTATCATTTGTGTATAATGATCCATACTGCTGACAATCTTGTAGCATTTCCCCAGCGATCTTGTGTTTCACTGCTTGTTTGAGTTGTTTGTTTATATTATATTATGATGTACGGTGGCCCTGAAGGCTCAACACAGTGCTTATTACAGCCTGTGTCCATTAATGCCTTTTCATACGCTGGCAGCGCCCACGACTTAGATTTCAGCGCATGTCTCTTAGCGCTAACTGTTGCTAGGTTACAAAAGTTGGCTCACATCACTTCTGCGTCCCTTGGTAGTGACGCCGATGTCTGTTATTTTAAGTTTCTGCAAACATGAAATCAATGACAAAATATCGGTTGTGCAGCAGCAAAGGAATGGAGAGAAACTCAATTCAAGACCCTCGGATGAGTTTCTACTCCGCCATTGTTGTTGAGAAAGCTGATCTCAGAAGTGTTGATTTTGATTTAGATTTTTTGATCTCAGAACCCTCTTGATTTTGATTGGTCGGTGAGGGAGACGTGACATTGTACTGTGAGACAAAAACGGCCCTTTTCAGAGTGCAGTTCCACAGCAGCGTTTTAACTAAGCTCCGCTCTCATTATGTCTGCATTTGAACATTCATATTTGTAACCCAAAGGCGCGATAGTGGAGTTAAAGTCTCTGAATTCTTATTGCAGTGCGGCGTTGTTGAAGCACGATGTGTAGAGAAAAAGCTGAAGCTCCACATACACACACTTTGACATGCACACACACACACACACACACATCACTGCTCTCCCCTTCTGTCACTTCGTCCCCCCATCGCGCCGCCATGATGTTCAGATGAGCGGAGTCCAAGGTGCAACATTTACGACCCTGCAATGTCTCGCCATTATGGTTAATTTCATGGAGGCGTAATGTGTGGCTGAAGGGATCCCACCTCTGTGCCGTCTTCAGGAGTAGTAACAGCAGCAGATCAGGGGTGGGATCAGCGCTGAGTGTGTATGTGGAGCTCCCACTGTTTCTCGTCACATCGTGCTTCCACATTGCCGTAACACAATGTGAATTCACAGACTGGATACCAAACTTACATCGTTGCGGTATCTATGAATATGCAAAGATGTAAAGGTTGAGCTGAGTTGCAACGCCGTTATGGAACTGTCTGAAACAAGCTGTAGTGAAGGCAGGACGTCACTGGGGCGTAAATATCGCACCCTGAACGAGCCGTCTGATCGGGCTAAGGAGAGTGCGTTTTTGTGCTCAGGATGCTGAGCGACAAAAAGAAGAAAATGTGCGATGCCAGCGCTAAAAAAAAGAAACTACCAAAATGGAGACAGGCCCAAAATAACACCCTTAGCACCCAAAAAAAGCGTCTTGACAACATGTCAACAAAATAAAAACAAAGATGCAGAACAGAAAAATGAACCAAAGACACATTTAATATATTAAATATCAAACTGTTTGTGTTGTTGCAACATCTCGATGTGTTTATTTGGAGTGTTTTAAATACAAAATATTCTTTGTCAAACTGATGAAGGTGTTTGTGTTTCATTTTTTTATTTTGCACTTTGTTGATCTCCTGAGAAACCGACGTGACGTCCTTAATCGTTTGGATTAAACATTTAAGCTTGATCTGCTTAAGGAAAATGTAACAGTGCGATGTAACATGAAGTTATATGAAGCTTTTTTTTTAACAATAATATCGATCTCCTGCAAACGTATTTCTGCTGTCTTTAAAGTGTTTGACAATCACTTCACCTGCAGAAAGAGCAATTCTTTAAAGCCCTGTATTAGTTTAAAAAATAAAACTGTACAAATCAGTAAAGTGATGTTTAAGTGCAACATGTTGGTGAGGACAGCATCCCACTCTGTAAATATGTGTGCACATGTTTGTGTTGTGTCAGTGTTTCAGATCGGGCAGCCTGCTGTGAAAATGAATCAATAAATGAGGTTTGTCAAAAGAATTCCTGCAAGGCATTAACATCGTCTTTTATGATGTGCTACATACATACTTTTATAAGCCTTACAAGCTTAGGACACCATGTATAAAAATGTTCCAGAGTGCAGTGTCGGTCTATTCATCATCACAAAACAAAAAGAGAAAACAAAAAGCAAGACAAACCCTAATAATTAAACAGAATATCTTGTCTTCTTTTCCAAGCTTTTGAGACAAATTTAGCTGAAACACATCAAACTTGGGGGCGTCGGTACCCATGTACAAAGGTCTTAGTCTTCCAAGTGGGTGGCCAGGGTTCAAGTCCTGTGGCTCTTTTCCCGCATGTCGTTCCCCTCTCTCTCTCTCTCCTTGATTTCCGGCTCTATCCACTGTCCTATCACTAACATAAAAGGCATAAAAAGCCCAAAAATAAATCTTCAAGGAACAAACACATCAAACTTAAACAGCCATTCCAGTTTTTGCACATCTGTCCGCCCTGATATGTCAGGTTTTTGGCGAGCTACCTCATGAAACAATAACTCTCTTCAATCATCCTATTTTTATGATGAAGTAACATGTTTAATATAACATACAAATAGCAGTGAATAGTTTTGCAAGGTGCAGAACTGCATTCATACGTAGATCACGTAAGGCTTCAGTCAAATTAAAAGAGGTACTGCTGTTGGCATATTCTCTGTGTCAACTGGTTAAAATAGGGTGGTAGTAGGGGGAGAGGCCACTGCACGGGGGGAAGAAGCTTTAATTTGTCTGTTTGTCTGGAATCTTGTTGCTCTGAACCTTTTACAGACAACATGCTGTGAAGAGTGGGTGAGAAGAATCCTGCTGGCCTTCTTTCTCAGACAGTTGGTGTTGATATCGTCAAAGTGTGGCAGCTATGTCCCCCACAATGTTCTGAGCAGCTTTTGCCACACCATGCATCATCCTCTGCTCTGATTTATTAATCTGTAAACGTATTCATTGATCAGCGTACACATGTGGATCTTTGTGAGTCTCAGTTTGATGGGGAGTTGAACATTTTACTAGTTACTTTGGCACATGTGGATGTGCAGCAGTGAAAGAGAACATTTCAGTTATTGTAGTGCTGTCCAAAAAGTTAATTTGCCCCACTTCTCATCACGTTTTGTTTATTTATAGCCTAAAGCAAAATAAACTAGTGAAATGTTGGAATTTGACGTGCTGCCTCCATGTTTTTTTAACAGTTCTGTGAACCTATCTTTAAGTATGTGTGCACATTTAATGAACTGTTTGAACGTTTGTAAATCTGTGTTTACGTTTGTGAATCTGTGTGCACGTTTGTAGATCTGTGTGCATGTTTGTCGATCTGTGTACACGTTTGTAGAGCTGTGCGCACGTTTGTGAATTTGTGTGCGCGTTTGTGGTCTGTGTGCACGTTTGTAGAGCTGTGCGCACATCTGTAGATCTGTGTGCACGTTTGTCGATCTGTGTGCACGTTTGTGAATTTGTGTGCACGTCTGTGGAGCTGTGTGCGTGTTTGTGGATCTGTGTGCACGTTTGTGGATCTGTGTGCACGTCTGTGGAGCTGTGTGCACATTTGTAGATCTGTGTGCACGTTTGTAGAGCTGTGTGCACGTTTGTGAATTTGTGTGCACGTTTGTAGATCTGTGTGCACGTTTGTAGATCTGTGTGCATGTTTGTAGAGCTGTGCGCACATTTGTGGATCTGTGTGCATGTTTGTGAATCTCTGCGCACGTTTGTAGATCTGTGTTTAAGTTTGTGGATCTGTGTTTAAGTTTGTGGATCTGTGTGCATGTTTATAGATCTATGTGCACGTTTGTAGATCTGTGTGCACGTATGTAGATCTGTGTGCACATTTGCGGATCTGTGTGCATGTTTGCATTAATTTTTGCAACAATAATATCTCCTAAAGTGGGGTACACACTACAAGATAATCAGGCCGATTTTTGGCCTGTTTCCCCCTTCCGACCAAGGTCAGCAAAGGGTCGTCTATCTGATGTTCCAAAGATTATATAGACAGATTCTCCTGTGGTAGAAGCACAACAAACATTACCATGGCGACAACAGCAATTGCGAAGCATAAAGTTAAATGGATGTCATGAATTCAGGACCAACTTGTTGATTTGTGGCAACAACATGAGTTATATTACGTGTCCTGTAAAACAAACCACAATCCAACTGACAAGGAAAAGAGTTGAACCAAAATGTTTACCGTGATGGATGTACCAGCTAACAGCTAGCCGCATTTAGCTTGCCTGTCATGTTTGTTTACTCTTAAATCGCGTCTGACCCGCGCAAGATTACACGAGATAGTCGAGACTCTGGTTGTCGGCAAATGAATGAATGAATGAATCAATCAATTTTTATTTGTATAGCGTCAACTCATAACAAGTGTTATCTCGAGACACAAAAGCAGGTAAAATACCTTACTCTTTGTCTTTTAACATTACAAAAGAGCAGGTAAAAGACCTTACTCATTGTTATGTTACAAAAGAGCAGGTAGACCTTACTTATTGTTATGTTACAAAAAGCAGGTAAAAGACCTTACTCATTGTTGTTCAGGCAAGCCGTCCATCAACAATCAGGTGGGGGGGGGGGGTTGTTCTGGCAGGCCGTCAACCAACGATCTCGAGGAGCCGAAGAGAGCTCAAGAACTCCCAGGAAAGTAGGTGGTTAGTGACTGAGATTTACAGATAGATACATGCAGTGATATGATGTACTGTATATGCACAGAGAGAGAGAGAGAGAGAGATAGAGAGACAGAGGAGCTCAAGGTGCCAGTTCCCCCAGTAGTCTAAGCCTATAGCAGCATAACTAGGAGCTGGTCTACACCAGCACCAGCCCTAACTATAAGATTTATCAAAAAGGAAAGTCTATTCTTAAAAATACAGACTGTGTCTGCCTCTCGGACCCTGGCTGGAAGATGATTCCAGAGGAGAGGAGCCCAATAACTGAAGGCTTTACCTCCCATAGTACATTTAGAGACTGTAGGTACCACTAGCTGTTCTAGTCAGTACAGTAGCTCGGTCAGTACACGAGCTGCAGCGTTCTGGACTAGTTGAAGAGTCTTTAGAGACTTACCAGAGCACCCTGACAAAAGAGAATTACAATAATCCAACCTGGAGGTAACAAATGCATAAACTACTTTTCTGCATTATTTTGCGACAGGATATTCCTGATCTTGGATATATTACAAAGGTGAAAATAGGCTGTTCTTGAAATTTGCCTGATGTGAGAGCTAAAGGACATATCTTGATCAAATAGAACTCCTAGATTCCTAACAGTGGTGCTAGATGCCAGGCTGATGTCATTAAGGACAGTCACATCACTAGAAAAAGTCTCTCTGAGGTTTTTAGGGCCTAGCACAATAACTTCAGTCTTGTCTGAGTTAAGTAGCAAAACATTTCTGGTCATCCAGGTCCTAACGTCCTTAAGGCACATTTCTAGCTTACATAACTGACTAGTGCCATCGGGCTTCATTGATACATAAAGCTGAGTATCATCTGCATAACAATGAAACTGTATGGAGTGTTTCCTCATAATAGAAGAATATATAATGTAAAGAGAATTGGTCCAAGCACTGAACCTTGTGGCACTCCATGGCTAACTTTGGTGTGCATAGAGGACTTATCATTAACATGTACAAACTGAGATCGGTCTGATAAGTAGGATTCAAACCAACTTAAAGCAGTCCCTGTAATTCCAAGTAAATGTTCTAGTCTGTATAATAGGATCTGATGGTCAGTGGTGTCAAAAGCAGCACTAAGATCTAACAAGACGAGCACAGAGAGAAGTCCCCTGTCTGAAGCTAGAACTAGATCGTTTGTAACTTTAACTAGTGCAGTCTCAGTACTATGGTGGACTCCTCAAATAAAAGTCACACAGCTGATTAGCTACCACTTTCTCCAGGATCTTTGAGATAAAAGGAAGATTGGATATAGGCCTATAGTTAGCTAGAGTTCCTGAATCTAGAGTAGGTTTTTTGAGTAGAGGTTTGATTATCGCTACTTTAAATGACTGTGGTACATAGCCTGCCAGTAAAGACATATTGATCATATCTAATATAGAGTTGCTAACTAAGGGAAAGATTTCCTTAAACAGCTTGGTTGGGATTGGGTCTAAAAAACAGGTTGACGGTTTCGACACAGAAATAATTGAATTTAGCTCTGAAAGGTCGATTGGAGAAAAACAGTCTAGACTAATAACAGGTCCTGGAACTGTCTCTGCCATTTCAGACGTATCTGCACCAGGTAAGGGCAGGAGGTTACCAATTTTGTCTCTGATGTCTAGAATTTTGTTGTTGAAAAAGCTCAGGAAATCATTACTGCTGAGGGTTAAAGGAATACAAGGCTCAATGGAGCTATGACTCTCTGTCAGCCTGGCTACAGTGCTGAAAAGGTATCTAGGGTTGCTTTTGTTTTCCTCGATTAGAGAGGAGTAGTAGGCAGCTCGATCGTGACGTAGAGCCTTCATATATCTTCTATGACTATCCTGCCAGAATAAACGAGATTCTACCGTTTTGGTCGAGCGCCATATTCTTTCAAAATTCTGCGACAATTGTTTTAGAGTACAGGTTTCTGAGTTGAACCATGGAGCAACTCTCCGCCGCTTGACAACCTTCTGTTTCAGGGGAGCAATCGAATCTAGAGTAACTCTCAGCAAATCCACTGCACTATCAACAAACTGATCTAGCTGAGAGGGACTAAAGCTATCATAAGAGTTTCCAACTGGGTTGAAACACAGTACTGAATCAAAAGCAGTTGAAATAGCTTCCTTAAATCTAGCTACAGCACTATCAGATAAACTTCTAGAGAGCACATTTTTATTAAGCAGAGATAATTCTGGTAGGACAAAGTCGAAAGTAATCAGAAAATGGTCTGATAGAAGAGGATTTTCTCAGAAAACTATAAGGTTTTGATTTCAATACCATAAGCTAAAACAAGATCCAGGGTGTGGTTAAAATGATGAGTAGGTTTGTTTACAC